ACCCTGGCCATTGCCAGCCTGGGTACAGGTAGCGAGACTCATCACTTAAACAACAGTTAATAGGGTGGGCCCAGGCCCATGGTGGCTCACACCTGTACCCCAGCATTCTGGGGCCGAAGACCGGCAGATCACCTGAGGTCAGAAGTTCGAGACCAGCCTGGCCAACATGGCTAAACCCCATCTCAAACAAAAATACAGAAAAGTGCCCAGGCACAGTGTGCGCGCCTGTAATCCCAGCTACTCGGGAGGTTGAGGCCAGAGGGTCTCTTGAAGGCCAGGAGCTGGAGGGTTGCAGTGAGCAGTGATCGTGCCACTCAACTCCTAGCCTGGGCAACAAGCAGTGAAACTGTCTCAAAAAGAAAAAAAAAAAAAAGGAACTAGAGCATAAGAATGAAGTAAGCTGGGAGTATTTTAAATAAAGCTCCTAGGGATCAACATGGTTTTAGGAAAAGGGATGGGGTCCTAAGACTGGTAAAGCACATTTTGCTCTTAGCTTAGATAAAAATTGATTACAAGTGTTCTTGTTAGATACATTAATGACCTACAGGTGCCATAGTCCCTCTGAGCAAACGCAAGCAGTGTTACTTCAGACAGACGAGAAGAGAAGCTGAGAAGGACAAAGAGTTGTAGTAACTGCAGTGGCACTCAGGAAATTAAGACGGGATAACTATGAGGGCCTTTTAAACGGTGGCTTCTTCTCTACTATCGTGTGATTTTCAACAGTAGGACTAGAACAATGTGGCCACGGATGATTAGACTATAAAGCAGTGTGTTAAAGGGATGCCTTTGCCTGCATTTTGAATGATCTCCACTAATTGTAAGTGAGAAGTTCATCTGACATTCGGTGTCTTCACAGGGATAGACACAGCCTAAAACAGTGGAGGTGTTGCCAGATCTCCAGTTTTGAGGAGCATCTGTTGCAGTGTCCGCAGCTACTGCCTCTGAATCCACCACCACGCTTCTGGAAAGGCTGTGCTTCCTGCATGGTGCCCTTAGCCAGAGACTCAGCATGGTAGAGGCACTAACGCAGGCCCATTGTGTTGACATACAGACCTCCAACAGCGCAGTTTTGGCTCAAAGACTCCTGTGGCCTGGCTGAATTTTGCTACAGTCCAGTCTTACCCAATCCTCCTTCCTTCCTTCCTCTCTCCATAGTTCACACCTGCACAAACCTTCAGTCGAAGCTGTCCTCTCTCTGCTTCCTTCCAATAACACTCCTCTCACACACCTTGAATCTGCTTCCTCACTGTAGAACTTGAACTAAACACAGGGGTCAAAAGAATGGTCAAAAGTCCCAGGAAAAGAGTCGGTTGAACCAATGACAAGTCTGCTAGAAGCTAAGTTTTAAATCGTGAATGCTCGGCATTAAGGACACCAGGCGGGGATAGATCCTGGTGACATATTAACAAGGCCCAGCAACCAAATAACTGAGGATTTAAGCACTTACAAAATAATTATACCTAAGGGCAACAAAAATAATTTACCAAATGGTCCTTTTTGTTTTTGTCTGATGGCTGAGGATAATGGATGGTTCCTTTGATCCCCAACCTAAGGAATTTAGTGTACTGTTCAAGTGGACCCACGGACATAAAGCCTGTTATCCTCCAAAGAAAAGCTTTTCAGACTGGGTACAGCGTTCAGCCTGTAATCCCCAACACTTGAGGAGGCCGAGGTAGGGAAGCACTGCTTGAGCCAGGAGTTGAGACCAGCCTGGGCAACATAGTGGTGAAGTAGGGCCACGTCCATCTGGGGTAAACACCCAAGGTTCCCTTGTCCCACGCCAAAGGAAATCAAGGACATGAGACACACAGGGCTGAGGTTAAAAATGGAGGTACTAGGTGAAAGAAAAAGCTCTCTCCTGAAGAGAAGGAGGTCCCGACGGGTTCTGTCTGGTCTGCAGTGAGTGCAGGAGGTTTGATAGATGAGCCTTGAGGAGGTGTTTCCTGATTTGCATATGCGAACCCGACCTACTCGGGAGGCTGAGGCAGGAGAATCACTTGGACCTGGGAGGCAGAGGTTGCAGTGAGCCAAGGTTGTACCACTGCACTCCAGCCTGGGTGACAGAGCAAGACTCTCGGTGGGGGAAAGAAAAAAAAATGTTTTCTTGCCAGGAATGGTGGTATGCACCTAATAGTCCCAGCTACTCAGGAGGTGGAGGAGGGAGGACATCTGAGCTCACGGGTCTAGTCTGGGGGCAACATGGTGAAACTCCCATTTCTAAAAATACTTTATAAAACAGCTGGGCATGGTGGCAGGTTCCTGTAGTCCCAGCAACTTGGGAGGCTGAGGTGAGAGGATCAGTTCAGCCCAAGAGTTCGAGGCTGCAGTGAGCTATTATTTATTGTACCTGTGAAGAACCCCTGCATTGCAGCCTGGGTAACGTAGCGAGACTCATCACTTAAACAACAGTTAATAGGGTGGGCCAGGCATGGTGGCTCACACCTGTAACCCCAGCATTCTGGGAGGCCGAGACCGGCAGATCACCTGAGGTCAGAAGTTCGAGACCAGCCTGGCCAACATGGCTAAACCCCATCTCAACTAAAAATACAGAAAAGTGCCCAGGCACAGTGGTGCGCGCCTGTAATCCCAGCTACTCGGGAGGTTGAGGCAGGAGGGTCTCTTGAAGCCAGGAGCTGGAGGTTGCAGTGAGCAGTGATCGTGCCACTACACTCTAGCCTGGGCAACAGAGTGAAACTGTCTCAAAAAGAAAAAAAAAAAAAGGAACTAGAGCATAAGAATGAAGTAAGCTGGGGAGTATTTTAAATAAAGCTCTGAGGGATCAACATGGTTTTAGGAAAAGGGATGGGGTCCTAAGACTGGTAAAGCACATTTTGCTCTTAGCTTAGATAAAAGAAATTGACTACAAGTGTTCTTGTTAGATACATTAATGACCTACAGGTGCCATAGTCTCTGAGCAAACGCAAGCAGTGTTACTTCAGACAGAAGAGAAGAGAAGCTGAGAAGGACAAAGAGTTGTAGTAACTGCAGTGGGCAATCAGGAAATTAAGACGGGATACTATGGAGGGCCTTTTAACGGTGGCTTCTTCTCTACTATCGTGTGATTTTCAACAGTAGGACTAGAACAATGTGGGCCACGGATGATTAGACTAATAAAGCAGTGTGTTAAAGGGATGCCTTTGCCTGCATTTGAATG